CAACATCCCCCATTCCCAAACAACAGCGTCTCACTGCCACTACAAATACATTAGAAATCAATTATTTATGGAACAGAGTCAGGGCCTCTTTAATCTTTTCCTTTTATCCAATTAAATTGTCTAACCATTCTAAGCCTCTATAGCTCACAGGGAATGTGCTTCTTTAAAAAAAGAAAAGAAGAAAAGATTTTCTCTTCAGTCCTTCTTTTGACTTTCGTTGTAACAGAGAAGAGACACTTCTGAGGGTTGAAGAATGAAAGGAAAGAAAGTGAGTAAAGTGTAAATGAACTCCCCCTCCCGCCCCGTCACCATTGCATTGGTTCTACAGGAACTATTTGAAGTTTTGATATTAAGACTCTGGTTCCATTCCCCGCGCAAAGGGACGCTGGGGAGCGGTGAGGCCTTTCATGATTCCTTTATGCCCAGCTGAAATAGTTCGAAAGTATTTGCGATCATCTCCACAGGGGTAAATACGATGTTGCTTCAATTGCTGTCCTGTATTATTCAAGAAGTCAATTGAAGTAGTGTCTGAAAATTGAAAACGCTTACTTCTGACGCAGACGTGTGAAATTATTGATGTTAAGCATTGTAAAACACTCTGCACTCCTCTCTATTATCATACAGTAAGACTGTTAGAGAAGAAAAGTTACAGACTCACTGACAAGCTGTACATTTTTACACTTTGTGGAATCATTTTCATATCCCACAATGAAAGACATATAGTAGAAGTGTGCTGTAGAGCTAAATGTGCTGTGGTATATTTAATGAAACACAGGGACTCGAGGGTTACGTTTTGATTCTTTCATTTCAGTTGCAGGATAACTTCAGTCTTAAAACATTAAGCTGATTAAAATATTTACTTATTGACACAAAATTAATTGACAACAATTTGGATATGTGTTTGATCATGTAAGTCATTAATGAAGCAAGCTTTACCTTCTCAAAATGGTTTATCAGTGTAAGATGATGTTTGATATTGATCTAAATCTTTGGGTTTTGGACGGTCGGTCAGTCAAAACAAGCATTTTGAAGACGTCACCTTGGGCTCATGGGATTTGTAATGGTCTTTTGCTATTTTCTGGCATTTTACAGACTAAACAATTAATCAGTGAATTGGAAAAAATGTGCAGACTGATAAAAAAAAATGGAGCTGAAGCAATTTGTAAATTGATCCGTAGGTAAATTTATCCAAATGCCTATGTTTTCTGGTTTCAGTTTCTAACATACTGATATTTCCTTTTCTTAACTGTTAATTTTAGTGTCTTTTTATAGTCAGTCGAATGTCGAATGTCTTGGGATATTGTTTTGTTGTTTGTATTAATCAAGAAAATAATGAGCACATTAACTGATAATAAGAATATTAATTAGTTGCAGTCCTGGTGTATTTTACCATTTTATAATACAATCACACATTGCAGTAATAATTACTCATTTACAGTCATTTACTTTATATCTTCGGTATCCCCAGTGCTGCTTGTCATCTCCTATGAAAAATGCTTTGCATGATGGGAGACTGCGCTGGGACCTAAGTTATTTATTTATCTGTCAAACTATGGAGAGTAGAGCTGAAACAATTTGCCAATTAATCGAATTGTTGATTCACTGAAAATGAAAAGGCAGCTGTTTTGGTAATCGAATAAATTTAAGATTAAGTCATTTTTTAATCAAAAAAGCCAAACAGTGATCAGCTTCCAGCTTCTCCGCTGTGAACTTTTGCTGGTCTACTTCGTCTCATATGACTGTGAGCTTCATGTATTTGGATTTTGAACTGTAGGTCAGACAAAAACTAGCCGACACCTTATAGACTAAACAATCGAAATCAGATTAACAAATAATGGACAGTTAGTTGCTGCCCTAATAGAAATGGCGATGTCTGACATGACTGGGTAATATTAAGAAATAAAAGGGCATCCAGTAGTTTTAAGGCCGACTGTACACAGCCCCAGATCTGCTGCTCTCTGTTACATGGTCATGTGAATTCATGTGTGGGCCGCTGATGTGTGCACACAGCATGGCATGACATGTCTGTAGGAATGAATACAATATATGATACATGTGTCTGTGTTTGTATATGTACTCGTCTACATGTGTGGCATGTCTTGCGCAAAGAGATTTTTTTTTTTTGTATTGTTTATGTTCCTGTGTGTGTAAAGCTGTGTACACTGTACACACAGTCGCGCACAAATAGCTCCTGAGGGCCCTCGCGATCACAGACTGCCAAAAGGAAAAGGATTTCCGAGAGGTTTCCTTCCCGCTATTTAAAGTGGGAGCCCTGTGGGACATGTTTGGCATTCTCATCCACTCACTGAAGATGGCCTGTGATCTGAAGCCACTAACAGGCTCTGCATGCGCCGTCTCTGTCTCTCTCTCACTCTCTCTCCCTTTCTCTCTCCCTCTGGCTCTCTGAAGTGATTACCCTGCTTGTGATTCCGCTGACACCCACATGTCCCCCGAGATGTGCCTTCACTAGTTTGTTTAATCTGCCTTCCTGTACAGTAGGTAACACAGCCATAATTGAGGTGTGGATAGAGCTGTGGGAACAGATGAAACTGATAACAGGTTTTATGAAAACTTGTCTGCGTTATAAGTCGCTGTGGATGACAGCAGTCGCTAAATTAGCGTACAAAACGCTGCTGTGATAAGAAATCAAAATGTTAACATCTAATAGCCTTCAACAGCAATCTGTCAGTCCTTTTGTTTCTTAATGTGTCCCCAGTCAATAAACGACGAATCTCATAATATGACTCACAAATATCAGTGTTTCAATGAGGATATTTCAAATGTTACTGGAAAAGTTGTGGATCCACTCATTCGTTAAGCAACTTTTCTCAGTTTCCACTGAGGCTGACGATAAGATAATGAGTTATCTGAGATTGAAATACCATTAGCGGGCCTCGCAGTCAAGCAGATATTTGATCTCAACAACATATGACTTCCAAAAGTTGTGCTGATACCTGAGACAGATTTCGCTTTGCACTCTGTTTGAATTTTTTGATATGAAAACAGCAAGTGGAACTGTGAAAATGCAAGCATCAGATACTCTATCTCCCCCGGTTAGTGTCTCGCCTCTGTCTGTAACACGCTTGAGCTGCTCTGTTCAGAACATACAGGGTGTCAGTCATCGCCCAAATCAGCCTTTAGATGAAGCAAAAAATGAAAAGGAACTAAAATGATCCATACAACTGAACTTGAATTAATTAAATATCCTGTATCATACTTTCTCTGAGAGATTGCATCTGTCCTCAGATGTGTAAAAAATAAAACATTCTCAGATATCTTTCTAAACCCTATTATTGTAAGATACCAGTAATTAAATTGACAGTGTTATTAATTGGGTTGAAGATAACTTGCATTGAGTCGAGGACATCTTAAACTCAATTAAAGATATCTCCAAGTCAATTAAAGATATCCAAATGCCATGTCCCGCAATATGCAATCAGGCTCTTTCTGGCGCAATAATATCAGTTCACTTGTGCCCCTTTTACAAAGACTTAGTTGTACTTCTAAAGTTTTCTTTTTATCATTTAAAGCCGGTAATTTTTTTTAAATAGATGTCGTCCATGTCACATTTTGGTGATGTGTATAGTTTCTTTAATGTCGCATAATTATAGTATTTAATCCTCTCTTATCCAGTGTTTGAAATAGAAATGAAGATTAGGCACTTCTGACATCAGAAAATGAAGCATTTAAAGGGATAGCTCAAAACTTTTGGAGCAAGGTAGTATGAGACAACAGCTCAGTCTATGGATGTTGCAGTTGAACAAATAAATTCACTATCCACAACAGATTACAAGTTCTGCAGTGTATGATTTGTGATTCTCATACGAAAACAATTGATTCATCAGCAGAGAGTTAATTAGCAACGATGTTGATAATCAATTAGGCTTTAACTTTTTAGGCCTTATTTATTATTATTTTTTAGGCTTTAACTAAGCAAAAATGCTTGGGCTTCCTTGTGAGCATTTAAAAAAAAATTTCAACATGTTCTAGATTTAAAGATTAATCATTGGAGTGAAAAAAATAAGACACGCAAACTTGCGGATAATTAAAGGACCCTGTAGGTTTATGTGATGGCCACCAGTTTTGATTACTTCAATTTTGATGGCTCTAAATACTACTATATCCATGAAACTTAGCCTCCTTATGGAGAAGAGGCCAGTCAGAATCACAAATTTTAAACATTTAGTTATTGCATTTGTGAAAAAAACACAGCAACATCGTTCCAAAACTGACCCAGAATTCAATTTACTGTTTTCACCTACTGTTAGCGGTACACGTAATAGTTTTAATCTCTATGATTGGATATTTCTTACCAAAATACTCCTTGAGAGTCATAGTTAACCTTGCATTTTTTGTGTACACTGGCTTGTACCTTTTACCTCATATCAAAGAACCACATATGGTTAACGCATTTGATCAGTGTTATGTCCATCCAAGCCTTACAATTGCTCTAACTTTTGAGTCACCTAATATTGCTGATGGAGAAAGGATTGGGACTTTAACTTCCAGCACATAAAATAGCTCCTCCTACTTCACATCTCTATAACTGATAATTATTAGTTGCGGCCCTACTTGGTTCTCCTCTCAGATGTCTTTGTATCATCAAACTGTTAAAATTACAAAATAGTTCCAGGGTAACAGATATGTGATCTTTGCCCTTGAAGGGATTCTTTTCACAAGAAATGTGTTGGATATCTCTTCGCAAAGATATTTCTTTTGACCTGGCTGGGTTTGAGATGTTTGTTACACACTGTAGGATGCTTCCTGTCAGGGCAAGCTGTTCACTCTCATCAGCTCTTCCACTAGTGCATGGAAACAGACTCACACTTAACAGCTGTCCAGCGTAACAATGTACATGATTGGATCATTTGTTGCTCTCTGCAGTGTTTTCAGTGAGATGATTGTGACTGTTGGTTTCCTGATGAATGTTTTCTGACCTTAAATCTGTGTGGATTTATAGTGAACCTGTTCTCAGCCTCCCCTCCTCTTCCTCTCCCCAGGGCGCTGTGCCAGCTGTGGAGAGAACGTAGTGGGAGAAGGCACTGGCTGCACTGCCATGGACCAGGTCTTCCATGTTGACTGCTTTGTCTGCATGACCTGCAGCACCAAGCTGCGTGGCAAGCCTTTCTTTGCTGTCGAGAAGAAGGCATACTGTGAGCCTTGCTATATTGTAAGTTTTTCCCTTCAGATCCACCTGCCTCACCGCCTAGTTTTGACTCCCTCTGGTTATTTATGTGTCCATGTTTCAAAAGTGCACATTGTGATATCAGGGGTGGGCACATTGGCAGTCGTGTGCCTGGAATGTTCATATATTTTTACGTCAGGCAATCACATTTCATGTGATCAAATGCCACCTCTCACCTGACCACACACATCTTCAATTCCTCTTTCTTTTGGCTCATGATTTCTTCTACTGAAAGTGCTTTTAATGGCTGAAATAGATAAACATGAGAAGATGTTAGAAATAATGTAAGTGTTCAGTGTCTTGTGTTTGATATCAAAATTTAAGCTCTTTGAATGTGTCAGCAGGCCAGCACTAACAGCTTAGTAATATTAAATGCTAGACACTGCACTGCAAATGCACTAAAATCCACGCTGTTATTTTAACAACGGATCAAATGATTATGTGTAATGTGAAAGGAGTCGCTCAAAATCTCTACAGAGGTTTTTCACATCTTTCAGCTAATCATTTTAGTTTTATGGCCTGCAACTTTACTGTTTTCTTTAACCTTCACCTCTCTGCAACAGCAGCCAACTGTTTCCAGTGAAAAACCCAATGTATGCTAGCAGCCCAACACTAAATGGCACACAGACAAAGTTAGCAGTTAGCTTTAACATACTGCAACATTTAGTAGTTATAAAGTCTAATATTGTTCTCTGTAGGTAGTGGAATGAATATTGGACTTAAACATGACTTTAAATGAATTCCAGTGTTGCTCTTTGTCTGCTAGATGTGTAAAAAGACAACATTTTGCTGACACTGTACCCATATTGACTTTATAAGGTGACATGTCAGTGTGGTGTTTACAGCTTGTTATTCTGTCCCCAAGTGGTCAAAACTTGTCTTAGCTATCTGCACTTTTTTCAGACCAGAACAACCTGATGTCTATTCGTTTGTTCTCACTAAACGATGATACCAGAGATGCGTTCATTGACTTTTCATAATAGAGGATTTTCAGATATCTTTTCCTTGGTGAATTAGATGATGATTATATTGTTGTCACTCGGTGAGCTGATGCATAACTATCTGGTGTTACAGCTGATAAGCAGTCAGATATGGTTTAAATGCCCTTGAGTTATTAAATGAGTGTCAAAATGATGTTTGAATGTAACATGTTGTTAATTCTCTTTGTGGATTAGATAACGCAGTCAAGTCTTTTGTTTGTTTCCTCCTTTTTACTTTTCTATATAACAGTTCAGTTCAAAAGTTGACCAGACTGAAGTAATGACTGATCCCAGAAATTATTTTTTAATTTGGGGTGTTTTAATTCCTCCTTACAAAACTGTGACCTGTTTTCTTGGTGCTATGTTGTGCAACACACATGAAAGTATTTCCTTGCACAATACTGTCAGGAAAGACGCATCATGTTGCAAGACCATATTAATATAATTTTGCAGAAGTGTTTCTTTCATTCAGTTTCATTAGAATAGGGGTTAGTTTTATCATCATTCCAGTCTCTGGTTATGACGGGGTCGAATTTTCTTATTGTCAGCAATATCGTGTGCAACTTTGTATGTCATTCCTGGAAGCTGAGATGGGAGGTAGCTGTACAACGCTATGAACCATTACAGTGGAAATGTTGGGTAATAGCTTTTAAGTCTCACTCTTCTTTTCATTTTGAAATAAGTGATTTAGATGATTGGATTCAGTTTGTACAAGAAGAGCCAAAAAAGGGGAGCTCCACCAATTTTACACATCAGTGTCTGTTCACAGGTCTTGGGGAGTACTACTGCCTATTTGAAAAGAGTTGGATAAAGCCTTTTGTGGCTTAAGAGAGAGCTGGACAAAATACGATAAATTGCCTCAAGTGATGTCACTTAGCAGATTGGAGCTACACTAAAACAAATGTTGGCAGGTAGTTATTTGCCTACGAAACACAAACCTTCCACTTTCCAGATTGTAGATAAGACATTTATAAATAGAGATTGTTCTACTTGTACCAGTACCATTGCAGCTTGCAAGTTAATGAGGAGGTTAAGGCTTTGTTTTAGGTGGATGAAGGATGAATCATCTTGATGGTCACAGCACCTTTTAAAAATAAGTCTTTACACATACAGTAGATGATTTTTTAGAAAACATATTGGAATGATGATTATTTGTTCTAAATAAATAAAGTAGAACACACGCTGATATTGTTGATTCTTTTGGCACAGCACATATTAACTCATACTTAAAATTTCCCTTCACATCACTTGCAGGAAAAGGCTTGATATGCATTTTACCAGTAAAGTCTTAAAGCTGATCTACATGACGTTTACACCAGTGGCAGGCCATCTCCTAAATCATCCCTTTTTCAGAGGCACTCACTGTGATTGTAGTTGTCTTGTCTGGAAGTTCTCCAACTCTGATACATGCGCTAAAGAGAAACGGGATAATTTAAGAACTTTATTTATGCATTTCATCAGCATAAATGTACTTCTGGCACAAGATCAAAAGGATGGGAGAAATCTGAATTTCTTAATGAAAGTAATTTCTTCTTCTTTTATTCCCATCCTCAGGGTCATACGCCTCTGTACGATTAGAGAATGAACGTGAGAGTTGAGTCTCTGAAGAGAAATGTCATATCCAAGAGAGTAAGGGGAAAACTTTAAGTGAGCCTCCAAGTCAGTCAGTCTAGGAATCTCTAAGAGCAAACCAACATTAATGATACAATGTGAATTTGTATTTGGATTGTACATTTCCATATTATATCAGCAGCATATTAAACTAAGTATTGCACTTCCAGAAAGAATTGAGTGTGTGTGTGTGTGGGTGTGGGTGTAGGTGTGGGTGTATATATATAATACACCCCTTATATTTTAGTAAATATTGGATTATATCTTTTCATGTGACAACACTTAAGAAATGAGTAGTGAGTGTACAGCTTATAAAACATCACACAGCCATGCCTAAACCACTGGCAACAAAAGTGAGTACATCCCTAAGTGAAAATGTCCAATTAGCCATTTTCCCTCCCTCGTGTCATGTGACTCGTTAGTGTTACAAGGTCTCAGGTGTGAATGGGGAGCAGGTGTATTTAATTTGGTGTTAGATGAGAAGATCGATTCCACTCACTGTTTGTATGCTAAATATTAAGCGAGAGCCTGCAGGCATTTAGTTTAGCTTAGCATAAAGCCTGTAAGCAGGGGGAAATAGGTAGCCTGCCTTTGCCCAAAGTTTAAAAACAAAACAGCAGAGCCTGAGATACACTGATTTTTATTCGGAAGTAAAGGTCAAGAACCAAAAACACAGGATCCTACCTTTCCCATAATCCAACTCACCAGTGTGTATAGTTAGGCCCTCCCTGCCTGTTAAGTGTCCATGTTTTGCAAATTTGAAGCTCCCAATTTGTAACACAGGCTTTTTGCCAAAACATGTCCCCAAGCCTAAACCCAAATAACCCTTATAACATCACTATGACATCATGAGGGTAATGTCTGTAGAAGTTGGATAGCTCCCTCCAGAACCACTGAAGACATTATCCAGCTGTTTTCACTGGATGAATAGTATTCGGTGATGCGTAAACTGAACTTGATTTGTAAAATTGGAAAAAAATAAATTCATAAATTCAGATTGCATCTAAAAATCTAGGATGTTTAAAAGATGTATACTATGGACACAAGGAATAAGTCAAACATAGATGTAGCTATTTTAATTTAATTCAAACTGAAGAATTTTAGTGAAATATGAGTAATAGCATAGTAAAAGTCATATCATATATTTTATAGTGTGGCAGTATATTACATTTGATTGAGAATATCTTACAGGTATAACAGGTGCCTGAGGATTTTACTGTGAGTATAATCTGTTTAACGGTATGCAAAAATCTATTAATCCCTTTGCCAGGAATACATTTTGCATGCCATGCTGATTGCCATCCAATAAAGTTTTCTGCCATGTATCAAAGTAGGAGATCAGCAATCCCTTTATCTAGGCTGAGACTTTACATATTATGTGGAACAATACTGGTATTTATATTAACAATATCCATCTCTTCCGCTGGGTGATTTGCCTCACCCAAACTGTTTGTCTAGATATCTTTAATTCCTTTCAGTAATGTGCAGAAACTCACCCACATCTGTTATCATCACCTGTGTAGTTCCTGATTTTACAACCTGCTATCTCTCTGGCTAACCAACCTCAGTCACATCATTGCCCTGCAAATGGCAGGGCAGTAATCAGCCTTTGTCTTCAGCACTTCCCTGGCTTCCCTCCACAGAACACTTATCGCTGCCTATTTGAATATGCAATGGTGTTTGATAAACTCTACAGATGTTCAATTAATGTCTCATTTTGCATGGAGTGCTTTGTAATTGTGCGAATGTGACAACATCGGGTCGCCATTGTTTTTTCTTTTTTTTCTTTTCTTGTCTGTTGTGTCTCGGCCTGAGGTGTCCCGCAGTTTCCTCTATTCCATGTTTGCACACATGATAAGAGTGATGAATGAGTGCGTGTGCAAACACCGCCCAGCGAGCTGTCCATCATTGTTGCTGTGAGACAGCAGTTTTTCATTTTAGTGCCTCTAAGTGTTTTCCAAGAAAAATCTCATGTGAAACATTTTCCAGAGGATTCAAAGTACTGCTAACTTTATGGTTTCTGCAAATTTGAACAAATTAATCAACAAAGGGCATCTGGAAATTCACAAATAAGAGAGAAACCCAGTGGGGCCGGACAATATTACAACGGTATTTTCCGTAACAGCCCGGCATCTTAACTTGCTTTCTCATAATTGGAGATCCCATCTACATGATGTTTTCATGTGTTGACCAGAAACTGGAAGACCTGGGTTTGTTGGTTCAAACTAAACCTTTATCGATAGCCACAGATTTTTGTAACATCATTTTTATCTTAATTAATCTTAGTTAATTGAGTCAGTCATCTCCCAGTTAAATTAAAGGTGCTAGAAGTTGAAGGCTTTTTACATTCCTGGAGGATGCAATCTCAGACAAAACTTGCTGAGAGCAGGATAT